CGTTTCGAGATCGTGTTGGTCTACCTGTTCGTGGTTAACCCTTGCCAAAACTGTAAACACATTGATACAGCTAGGAAGGGTAAAACTCAATGACATATCCGTAGATAATTGGCTTCCGAGAAAACATGCACAACATGAGCCATTATATATAATCAACGATAATCCAACGTTTAGGTTATGTAATAAGGAGGAAGAAACATCTTCAAATGCAAAGCAGCCGCTTAATGGGAACATAACATGGGGTTCAATGATCTTCTACTTCCTAAAAAACAAGGGTTGAATAAATTTCACTAAACTAAGGAACCAGGAAACGTCCAGTAAATCAAAAGGCTGCTGTGCTTGTGGAATGACAAACACCCGCTTCCAATATCTTCTCTTCATCATCATATCACCAATAAGTAAATACCTGCTTGGGAGTAGAAAACCTTAAAAGCGGTTACACTAGCAAAACTTTCTCATAGGTTTAGATAGCGAAGTAGACCAAAATTCTTTAGCAAGTTGTCACATCCGAAATGCATCCAAAATCTAGGAAAACCTGGGAGTCAGAGCACAAAGGAATTTTGGGTAATGAACAAGCAGACAGACAATTGACCAGAGGACAATCTAGAAGACAAGCTATATGCCCAGGACCCGTATTTTGGGATATCAAATTCACACCTAGACTCCTCTATCTCAGAATGTGTCGACATAAAATAAAAGAAGAAATGTCCAAACACTTGAGGTACCAGAATAAAGAACCTTCGCCCAAACTGATCAACACATTGGTACAGGTTGACAGGGTAAAACGCAGGGGAGTGAGAGGTTCACTGGGGTCTATCGGTCACTGGGGTCTGAGAAAATCCAATATTCACACTTGTTTAGCAATGACCCAGTTTTATGCAACGAGAAGGAAGAATGTGCCAGATTAACTTCGAATGCGACGCAACTGCTCAAAGAAGACATTAAGAAGACCGAAGAAAAGGAATTGAACCAATGACAGTCAATGACCCTCTATTTTTGAAAAGAAGACTCGAGTCAATTGAACCGAATTAAGGTACTATGAAAAGAATAATAAGCCAAAAAGCTGGGGATTACAAGGGAATTAGCGTCTCATCATCATCAATGGTTTTATAATAAGAGATAATGATGATGGTGATGATCTAACAGAATCAACACTACGTAGAGCTAAGTTTTTGCAAAAAGTAAAAAGGTTGTCACGCTGGCCGTACCGTTATCTTCGTCGTGTTCTGCCAGAAGAGATTATCTGGCAAATGTTTGTTTTTCTCCGTTTAGATTCTAACCACAGTATCTGCCATTTGTTCGTCGAATAACACTAAAAAAATATTTCTTTTTATGCTCTCTTATTTGTGGGGGGAGCAGTTTTTGCTCATATGCTAAAAAACTGAAAATTTGGGTGTAACCAGTTTTCAAAAATGGACAAAAACCAGGGGTGTTTTTAATTGTAACTGAACATAACTAAACAAGAGACTCTTTACGACCTTGCCCACCGCGGCCAATTTATCATAAGTAATACCAATAATGGATTGAAAAGCCTTATTTGCCTTTCAGGAGACGTTTTTAAATTAATAAATAGAGTAGATTTTAAAAAGTTCCATACATTTTACAAAACAATTTCCCTAATCGTACTCAAAATTGTCGCGTAATCAGTGTTGCGAAACAAGTTGCCTAAGTAGTTAAGTCAAAAGATAACTTTATACATGTTAGCCTTAATAGCGGTTCAAGGATGGCTTTTTTCCACTTTTAAACGGCCCGATTGAAATTAATTAATTATTTAATTTACCCAGACCGGCGGAGATGTTTAGTTTTCCCGGCCCCGCGTGCCCTACAGAATTGAGCGAAATTAAACTCAAGAGAAGTTTTATTCATGCGACCCCCCAGGCCGGGCACTCATGAATTGCGAATTGAGGTCGCGCTGTTTAAATTCTGTCCTCCGAGTCTCTGCGGGAAAACGCAGTTCCCTGGACATCTGGGGCAACCAAATTTGAAAGAAGAGCCGGTTTTCTACGGTGAAATTGACAAATTTTTCAAATTATCTCTCGTTATCCTCCAATCGTCTTTTTGTTTTAACCCCTTTTTTTAATATATAACTTTAATTGTACTATTTAGTATATTTAGTTGAGATAATACAGCTTTGATTTTGCTTCAACTCGAGACTAAACATTCGTTGGCTATAAAATGGTAATAGTAACCCCAGTCTCAGAAAAGGAAGGTTTGGTAGCAAAAGAACTTTTGCTATTATGTACTAATAAAGGTTTTCCAGGGTTCGCAATAGACGAGATCATATCAAACCACGGTGTGCCGGTGTTTTTGAAAAAAACAAGTAAATTGTAGGTTCAAATGCAGGGCAGGTAGTCTGGTGTGTGATTGTAATTTATTAATGAGAATGGAAGGGGGTTTATCTCCAATTACCCCGACGGACTCTGGGGTAGTGTGAATGTAGGTCTGAGTGTAATTTATTAGCGTGAAAGGTAGCTTATCCCCAATTACCCCGAAGAATATCGAGTACTCTGTGAATGCTAACCAGAATGTTTTTATGGTGTTTTAAGATGTTTTTATCTTGTTTCTGTGCATTTATGTTTGTTATATGTCTTATAATATCCCCAATTAATGAGGCCCTGGGATACAGAGAAGCTAACAATAGTACATAGAAAAAAGTGAGTTGGTTACAATTGAACCAACCAATAAAATATTGACACTCAGCTTGGCAAAGAGAAAAATAAATTAGTATAGTTAATACGACAGAAAGATATGAAAAGAAATGTTTTTAACTACGGAAGAACGGGCTGGCAATGACCAATGTAGTTTGAGACCCTAAAACTACAAAAAAATATATTATTTATTTATTTACACATACAACCTATACATTGTTAAATTATTTTATTTATTTAAATATATTTCTAAAACTTAAGTATATTTAAATTAAGTTTTAATGGGTTAAATTGGAAAAAGTATTTAAATTATATGATAAAGTATTAAATATATATTAATTTATTAAATTAAAAAATTTGCAAAGGTTACATGTCCTACAATTGTTGTTAGATTACAACTGATAATAATAAGCATAATTCAAGTCGCGAAATAGCACCATCATTTACGTAAATTCTCTCTCCCTCCCTCTGTATCTCCCTCTCTTTATCTCTCTTTCTCTCTCCCTCTCTCTCTTTCTGTCTCTCTCTCTGTCTCTCTCTCCCTCCCTCTCTCTCTCACTCTCTCTCTCACTGTCTCTCTCTCTCTCCCTCTCTTTCTGTCTCTCTCTCCCTCCCTCTCTCTCTCTCACTGTCTCTCTCTCTCCCCCTCTCCCCCCCTCGCTCTCTCTCTCTCTCTCTCTCTCTCTCTCTCTCTCTCTCTCTCTCTCTCTCTCTCTCTCTCTCCCTCTCTCTAAAAGTAGAATCTGAGCCTTGCTCTAAAAGTCACGTCTTGCCCTAACCTCTCACTCTGAAAGTCTAACTTTGACTTCTTTGCCGGTTCTACTATGTTGTCAAGTTAAAGTCCTATGTAGCCTGCTGAGAAAATATTTGTACAGTTTCTCGCAATATTTTCATGCTGACTGGGCCAATTCATTACAATCATTTCACCAGACCACTGCACGGAGATACTCAAAATAAACTGCTTAGTGACTCGAGTTACCTACCAGTCCCAATGATCACTTCTAATGTATTTGAATTGGACTCAGCAAACAACCTGCTGATTACGATTTAAGTCGCGAAGTAGTATACTATAATTTACGTAAATTAAAAACTGAAGTTTGTATTGCCAATGGAAATTCAATCTCTCTCACACACACACACACTCTCACTCACTCTCTCTCTCTCTCCCTCTCTCTCTCTCTCTCTCTCTCCCTCCCTCCCTCCCTTCATTTTCGCAATTCTACTCCGTTTAAAGAATGTACTCCGTGTGCTCGTTCTTAGTTTTATGGCCTGTGGAGTAGGGTTCAACTTTTCTCCTATCTCTATCCCGAGATATTTCGCCATTTCACCTGGTTTACTAAGCCCTGTATTTTTACTTCAAGTGGACTTGTGAGCTTACATTTTACGATTAGTGTGTGGCACTTCAGGGGAGATTTCTTAACCCTTTTCACAATTTTGTTATTTCACTTATATAACGCTTTCCGTCTTTCCCTCAAGCTCCCTTTTGTTATCGGCCCTTAGGAGGGTTACAGGTCGTCGATGAATTCAGTTAATTTCCAATTCTTCACGTCTTTCTAGGACACTGTTGAAGACATTAAAAAAAGGCTAAAAACTGACCCTTAAGAGTTATATTTCGTCTTGAAGTGTCTGCTTACTTTAAATTTCTGCTTTCCTGCCTTTAAAGTAATTCTAAAATTGTTTCTTAGACGGTTTTTCCTTTTAAGCTCTTTAATTTAATGTTTGGACAGAATCAAAAGCGCCTTTGACGTATATGAAAATGGCGATGACTTAATTTTTTTCTACTTTAAAATACACCTATGTCCTTAGATGAAATGGAGCCAGTGAAGAAAAGATACCAAGAAAACATATATTTATTTATACAATATTAACATAACAAAATGAAACATGATCCGTTCATTTTATTTAAGTCCTGATGAAGGATGTGACTAGAAGGCTTGACGAAATAACTAAGTGCTATTTTTCCAAAAGGCTTTTCATGATTTTAAAAAATTTCTTTTTTAAATTAGTTCATTTGATAAAATTATCATTTTACCCTGCCAGGAATTTTGCAGTCTGTTTTCTCATCAACTTCCTGTCCAGAAAAAGAAGGAAATTTCTTGTTTGACAGCCCAATCGAATGAGCTGCTAAGCTTTGCAGGATGCATGCTGTGTTGGAGGTGTGGTTGATTGTCGTCGAGGCGAATGACCTCCAAGTACACATTGTACTGTCACAAAACCTCTCTGGCTCATGACCCCTTCAAAAGCCCGAGTGCTTGAAAGCTATTCAAAACCTAGCAACGACACTTCTATCAGAAATATATCCCGTTTTATAATTTAAATTCTTTTTTTTCTCACCAAATAATCAATTAAACGTTTTGAGCAGAGTTTTTATTTATGCTTTTTTTAAACATACAAATCGAAGAATTTGAAACGCGCGTGCGTCACATGTTGAAGAAGACTGGGAAAAGATTTATTTCTTCGTGGTTTGTTGTCTTGTGGGGTTGTCTGTCATAGTATACAGAGAACGCTTTTTCTGATCGGTCGGTGAAGCACAATCCTTCGGTGTGAAATTTGCGCTTCGCACATCACCAATAACGCCTTTAACTCCAGAAATTCTCCGTCTCGAAAAATCACCTCCTGCGGGCATAAGACGGATATCTGTAATTTTTTTTTTTTTTGAAACGTTATTGGCGATATGAAGTTTGGATCGGAATTTTCACGACGATCCTGTGAATAATCAATAAAACAAAATTTCTAAATCCATCTAATTTGCTCAATTTGCTGAATATCAATGGTAAAAAGAGATTATTTTAAGCCCTATTAAAAAATATAATAAAAACAACATTTGATCAAAGAAAATATAAGCTCATCTATACAGGGTGTTACAGGGTTAAATGTCAATACTGCCATGGCGGATTCAATAATTAAAGCGTAGTTCAGTGCCACCAGAACGAGGTTTCTATCTTTTCTCTTTCTTGAGATATTAATATTTTTGTGATTTTAGTTTAAAATCAGATTTTTTTAACCAAAAATGTTAATGAAGGAAGGATGAATCGACCGTCAGGATATCACTAGTAAGTTCGAGATCAGGGATGCGGTCATCAAAACAAGTAAGGTTGTAACTTATGACAAGCTTGCTTTTTCTTTTCTTTTTCTTTTCTTTACCTTTATTGAGGTCTTCATCAGGGCTTTTACAAGTAATTAAAATTGTATAACTATAAGATTACCGTTATTATCTGAGAATTATTGTGTTACTTATTATTTATTTATTATAAACGTTTAATTGCTTTTTAGAGCCCTGATGAAGACCTCAATAAAGGTTGAAACCTTGGTATTGAACTTACTTGTTTCGATGACCGCATCCCTCATCTCGAACTTACTATAAAATTATTCTTTTTATGTAAGGTCTTGGTTGAAATGAAAAAGTTAGTGTCACGAGTGGGATTCGATCCCACGACTTTCGGCTAGCTGGGTTCGAATCCCGCTCGTGACATTAACTTTCTAATTTCAAACAAGAACTTTATAAAAACAATAATTAATTAAAAGGAGTAATTTGGTCAATTAGACCACTAAAAATAATGGATTTACTATAAAAAGTTATCTCAACCTTACAGTCATTGAATTACAAATCTGACCTTTATTTCGCTAACTCCATTAAATTTTCCACAAGAATTTCCGTTGAAAAATTCGCGCTTCCGAAAACACAGGAGATGCTCAAAGAATAACAAATGGCAAACAACCATTTTTTTTTTTTTTTTAAATACTCAATTTGGTCTCGTGCAATGACTTTTCCATCAAATTTTTCGGGGATTTCACCAAAGTTGCCTTAATTTATACGTATACCAAGGACATACTCACTTTTACATTTTTTTAAAACTTTTCTTAGACAAATCTGATTTGCAAGGTTGAAAAACGTGATATCGAACCCAAGAAGAGCAGCAACACAAGAACAACGTCCGCCATATTTTTAATTTATTAGTTGGTAAAAATATTAGATACATTCTTCTCGTGGCATGGCGGTGAGAGCCAGATTTGACCAACTAGATTTTCACATATGGGGAACTCTGAAAAGTGTACAGCATACCCATCGAAACGAGGGAACAGCTCATAGCGAAAATTGAAATCACGAGCAATGACATGAGGGAAAGAAGGGAAGAAGTTTTCCATGAAGTCACGTCGGTGTATTGGCTTGTGTATTCAATACGAAGGAAAGCATTCGAACAATACATCAGTTAATTTTCAAAAATGCATAATTTTATGTAGACATTTTTCTTGAAGTACACTGTTACCAACTAATAAATGTTTTTATAAAAATATGACATTTTCGATGTTCTTGTGTTGCTGCTCTCTTTTGGTTCGATATTACGTTTTTCAATCTTCCAAAGGAGATTTCACTAAGAAAAATTGTAGAAAATGTAAAAGTATGTAGTATGTCCTTGGAATACTTACAAAATAAGGCAATATTGGTGAAATTCCGAAAAATTTTGATGGAAAAGATATTACACGAGAGTGAGTATTAAAAAACACATGGGTTTTGCATTTTGTTAAAATTTGGTGGCTACTGTGTATTGGGAAGCGCTAATTTTTCAACGGAAATGTTATCTTGTGGAACATTTAATGTAGTTGGCGCAAGAAATAACAATTTTATGACAAAAAATCGGATTTTAGACTGAAATACCAAAAATGTTAATATCTCAGTAAGTAGTCAAGATAGAATCCTCGTTATGGTGGCCCAGAACTACATTTTATGCAGTGGATCCACCATGGCAATATATTGATATTTAACCCTGTAGCACCCTGTATAAGAAGTATATATANTAATAAACTTATTGTTCAAAACAGCCGAAGATACTAAAATTCAATTATTTTAAATAAAAATTAAAAACATTTAAAATAAAACCTTTTACAAATATTTTTAATAAAAACTCTCTGCAGTATCAAAAAAAAAAATTATCCGTGCTTTATAAAATAACGCCATGCATCAAAAAAATAGAACTTTAATCATTGCAAAGTTTTCCATGGCCCCAAAAAGCAGCGAGTTAATTTTTACAAGTGATGCCCAAAGGTGGGCATGATCTGGACGGAGCTTCGACACCCTTCAATGCCGGGAAAAAAGATTCCTTCGGCCGATATTTCTCGGTCCCTCTGCAGAAAGCTCATTGGTCTCCTGCTGGGACTAATAACATAACATTAATCATATGTAAACTTTAAAAAAATGTGAATTTTATCTATGTATGGTATTATTGTTAATTATCGATTGGGTTGATGAAGATAAACGGCTGAAAACGTTGAGATTTGCCTGTTGAGGTGATAGACCTGTTGTTTAAGATCGTCCTGGTCCGCCAATCCCAGCTTGTTTGGTGTGTCATAACACATAAAACGCCAAAAAAATTTAATTCGACAATTGCAGTTAAAGACTAAGCTACTAACTAAAAACATGTTAGAATCGATGAAAATCAAGTTTCTTCCAAATTCAACTCTACATTTTTACATTTACTATATCTAAAGTTAAAAAGTTGTGCAAACATCGATAAAATGAGGCATGGATAAAAAGCCATTGTCATATTCAATTTTTTCCATGAGCACTCAGAGAAACATCAGTTTTTAGACTTGTTCCTAAGAGGTAACAGATTAGCCGGGCCTCCCGGCTTAATGGGTCGGAGAGGAGTTGTAGGATGGAGATAGTGGAGAAGCAGATAAGGCCTGTAAGCGATCGTGATTGGGGTTTGGTTAATCGATCCTACTCAAGGACCGTCTGGCCTCGCTTGTTTGACGATGTGTGTAAAATGCACTCCATAAGGTAATGCAACTGTGGGTTTCGCGTAAGGTTTTCAATTAATAGAACATTAAAAAAAACAGACGGATATGTCGTTTAGGGCCCTGGTCCGCCTATTCAGCTGCTTTGGTCTATCAGGTCTCGACTAATTTTATGTCAAATAACACACAAAACCGACGACTGTGTGAAACGACGACCCGCGCAAGACTGGAGAATAGGCTACCAGAATGGGAAACGGCCAAATTAAGAAAAACATGTTAGATTAGATTGAAATCAAGCTTTAGAATAATGGCTCATCAGGTTTACCATACCTGATGGAAAATTGTGAAAAAGACAGTTAAATCAACTTAATCTGGTACTTTGGGCGTTCACAGTCTGCTTGGCCCGTCTGTCTTCGCTGCTTTAATCAATCAGGTATATCTATACGAAACTCAGCAAAACAAAACAACACAGAAACTTACTACTGAAGAAGGCAAAACGTCAAATGCGTCATACAAATTCAGTGAGGAGCCAACATGTAGGATAGAAATAGTGATAGAAATGCAGAAATGGTGCATTAGATCATAGATCAGATCAGTTCGTACGACTTCAAATAATTTATCCTCAGTCACAAAACTCCATTATCGGCTGACCGTTTGAATATTATTAACAAAGTAAAACTATTTTAAAAAATTACAGCTGTGAATGCTGTGCTCATACGGTGACATGTTACCTGCTTCAGTAGCTAAGGACACCAGAGGGTAGCGTATGGTGCGATTGTCATTCGACGGGAGGATGGACTCCATCGAAACTTTGGCACTGGCGAGCAAATTGGTCACGAAAAGCTGTTTCCTCAGAGGCGGGTCCGCGCTTCCGACGAGCTCCAGAAACTTAAGGACCGAAATGTTGATCACCGCCTGCCTCATGGTCGCTTCGCTCTCCAGCCCAGAGTTGATCTCCCTCTCCAGCTGCGAAAAAAAGAGGCGTACGGTTTAATTTTTCTACAAATAAAAAATATTCGTTTTTTATTTATTGTAATTTTACTATTGTATAGATTTTTTATTATTTTTAATGAAAACTAAAGAAGGAAATAGATTCTGCATGAACTTTAAAGTCAGGTCATTACTCTTAGAATTTTATGATCCCTGGAAACTTTTTCTTCTAACTTTGGGAATAACCCCCAAGAAAAAAAATTTCTAAACCAAGAAATTTTATGAAATTTAAAAAAAAATTAAACTTTCGAAGGTATTTATAGTTTATTTGATAGAATTTCATTGAAAAAAAAATCAACTAAAGTCAGAATAATACATACTTCCATTCTTCAGTTCCAGAGATGAACCAGCGGATAATCGATCGAACAAACTGTTCGTACAAAGACAGAGACCGTTTGTTCAGATCCATCAGCTGATCCATAAAATATTTCGAACGCATTTTACTTCCTAGATATTAACTGTTTTATGATAAATTAAATCAATCGGGAGATCCGAAAATCCTTTCAAAGATAAATAAAGCGGATAGGTTTTTGCTCAAAATGTCAATGCTGTTCATAAATATATAGTAAATGGACTCCAGTGACAATACATTATTGGTACTAGATTTTCTTTTAATTTTAAAAAGAAACAAGAACCCAAATTGTCGTCCATTTTGACAAAATATACAAAAGCACATATCAAATGTTAAAAGAGAACCAACCCCATTTAAAGCATGAAAATTTGATCAGATGTTGAATCAATATGTAGTTAAAAAGTAATTTTCCAAACTTTTCTTGAAACTATACCATTTATGAAAACGATTATATAATCAAGAGATTAATTTTTTAAATTGTGTGCCTTGATAAGGTTTGATTTAATGAATTTTTGATTGCTACTCCGTGTGTTTGTTACCTGTTTCATGACCCTCTTGCATTTCTTTTTCTCCTGTTTGCACGCCTTCCTTAGGCTTTCTTCGCTCAACATTCCTAGAACGCGGTGAAATATGAAAGTTTATGTAATGGTACGAACGAAATGGCAGGCCATAAACAATTATCTCTAAAATAGAAACACAAAATCAGCTGTTTTTGGTTTTTCTTTTTTTTCCGACGAGAAATCACTGCGGAAGAAATGCAGTTTGTTTCAGGCAGCCTTGGGAATCCAAGGAAACAGTAAATTCATGTAGCATAAAAAAATCTCTTTAGTGGCGGACATGAATTGCTTAACATTGCCCGTTAAATGGTAGGTAAATGGTCATGCCGTCAAATTTTTAAAACCCTTTGTAAGGTGACATCTACATATCTTGATTTTTCCGTGATAGATGTTTTATCGATAACTATAAATTTAGTCTTTAACCATGTTTATTACTTCTTTTGACACCTTATCAGGTAGGCTTTGTAGTTCTTCTTTGGCTGTTCTCAATTAAAACGACATCGTCCACACATCGGATATTATTATTGAATACTGTTAGTCTTTGGCAATATTGGGATTGAATCGGTCTTCAAGGAAATTTGAGATTGCCAGTAAAAAACTTAAATATGTCAACCTGTAGTCATATTTAAGGTTGTTTTGCCCTGATCATGACCTTAAAATAGTCAGAAAGCTTGGCATTAGCAACTAAATTTGCTTTCTTGTATAAGACCATACCTTGATCCAGAGTTTTCGTAACCTTTCTACCTCCTCCACATTAGATAGCCTCAGGTTATGAGAGCCTCAATGTTTTAGGAGTATTGCTGAATAGTAGCGGTAACAGGCTGTACCGTTGCCTCACACCTCTCTTGATTTAGACATCATCCGATGTACAACCTTCTATCCTAACATTTGCTTTTTGGTTTCGGTAAAGTTGTGCTATAGTGAGGATATCTTTATCATCTTGGTGTTTTTAAGAATTTCTATCGTTTTCCTATGTTGGTTTCATTTCAAAATCAATAAAACACAGACCGGATGGTTGATATCCCTCATCCCTACATCTCAGTACTAGGAATTTGGTGCTATACACTTCTCTGGTTCTTAGTCCGTTGCGAAATCCAAATTGTGATTTCCTGATTTGCTGATTTGGTCTTCTAGTTTAATATTGATTCAACTGTGGATGACCCTTAAGATTATTTTTGGACGTGGCTCATTAAACCGTTTGGCCGATATTTTTTTGCATTTGTTGTCTTGAGTATTGTAACAAAAAACGATTTCAACCAATCCAATGAACTCCTTTCTGCGTCATATATTTTATTATACATTTTTGTCAGTAACTCCTGACAGTTTGATGTAAAAGATTTAAAACTTCTGTTGTGATTTCATCGGGGCCTTTACGATTTTTTGCTCCCATAATAAAAGTAAATAGGTATATTGCCAATTTTATAATATTTACTTTCCCTAGCATTTTTATTTTATTTTTATCATAAATTGTATTAAAATTTATTAGAAATTATTATGTTTCTTACTGAAGGAAAATTTAATTAAAAGATTTTGAAAAATAACAAAATAAACATAATTTTGTTTATTGGGCACATTTTTTTAAACAATGAATACCGTGTATAAGGACCTCTGTTGGCTAAAACCTCTGTGCACTTTTTAAGCATACTGTTAATAAGATGGTCACTAATTTCATAAGGCATTCACTCCAAAGATGTTGCAACGCTGCATCAGTTATTCCAGGTCAACTGGCTGCGGATGGTAATCGAAAAGCCTTCCCTGCAAAACATCCCACTTTGCTCAATAAAATTGAGGTCTTGAAGCAACGGGGAAGGGGCAGATTGGAAATTCCCAGAGTTTCAGAACATTGATGAACAACTCTGCCTCTTTGAGGTCTAGCATTGTCATCCAGAAATCGATTTCCTTGGACATAACGGACTGCGGTGAGGTTGTCTTCAACAATATGGAGTCCAGTTAGTCCTCCAGTGTAAATCCCAGCCCAGACCATTACTCCGCCTCCAAACTGCACTGAAGGGAGCACGGACAGGGGGTATGCATCCCACGTTCTCAGTAGACTCTTCGGCCGGCTACCACTTTGCAGACAGAAACGCGATCATGAATAAACATAACAGCATTCAAATTAGAGTTCTCTTCTAGGCGCTCGCTGTACCATATTCTCCTGAGTTGCTGGTAGCGTGCTGTGGCTGCAGGTCGTCTCAAAGGGGCATACGATGTGATGCCAACTTCGTGGTGTTGATAAAGGATAAAACATCTTGTACTTCATTTAGGATCTTGCGAGCACTTTGGAAAGGGTTCGGTCTTGCACTGGCAATAAATATTCTGTCTTCCCTTAGCGACGTAATGGGCTGAGATCCACCTCTAGGCGTCATATGGGCACTTCCAGTCTCTCTGAATCGGGCTAAAGCCTGGGAGACCGCGGTGACCACTTGCCGGTGTCCTCGATGGCTCATTCCCACAATAATATTGCGAACTTCTGGTTCAAGATGATGGTGATCCATGGTTAATGAGTATACAACTGGATTAAAATGTAGAAAAGCCGAGAAAATATGTTTGTTTACAAAATGAGTAATCTTCATGTTTATTTTGTGTGTGGTGTTTAGTGACAGTTAGCCAATGATTATTTGGAGATCGGGGGTGCGGTCTGGTGTGGCGTAGGTTTTAGAAAAACATTTTCTTCGCCGTGCCAACGTTTCAACCTTTATTGAGATCATCTTCAGAGCTCAAAGTGTTTGTTTTCTGTGTAGATGTGTCATTCTTGCGTGTCCTGTTGAGAATACTCTTTTCAAATTTAAATGATTATTATTCTTAACTAAATGTTATTAAAAATGAGGAGTAACATTGTTTGTTTTTGGTTTGTATTTTCTACTTTGTTTTATCCAACTAACAAGAATATATCGATTAATTTAATTAAAAGTAATAGAGTAAGAATAAATTACAAATATCTCTATTCGTTTTTGAGCATTTTAGTTTTGTTTACTTCGTCGGTGGTGATAGCTGGACCAGTTCTTAATTGTTCATCAGAACGATGTGCGAATCGTTTGTCTTGGAACAGTTCTTGTACAAAGTCTTGTTACGCCCCAATTCGGGGGGGGGGAGGAATTAAATTAGATTAAAAAATAAAAGTGAAAAGATAAATAAATAAAAATAAACAAAACAAAAATACTTCTTGCGCGTCCCCTCCGCACGCAACCACAGGCAAGGCTTACAATTTTGAATTAAAATCTTTTATCAATAATAGTGAGTAGAAATACTTTGAATATAATTTTTTTTGCATAATAAAAATTCAATTTTTCCACATCCTACATGTATTTATTAAATTTTAACAATGTTTGTAAATCCCAGGCGCTGAAGATGATCTCAATAACGATCGAAACATTGGCACGATAAAGAAAATGTTTTTCTAAAACCTACATCACACCAGACCGCATCTCACGTTTCCGAATAATCTTCGACTAACGGTCACTAATCACCACACATTATTATTAATTTTTTCTCTTTGAAAAAATGTAATAGTCTTGCCATATATTTAGTTTGTCCTCTATACTCATGACGTCATTGCCATCCCTTATCAAATACTCGTGAATTGTTTGCTTTCCTGTTCAGACCTGACATGTCAGATCTTTTTATGGACGTAAAACATATCATATCGCTTTTGGTACCCCTCGATTTCATCACATTCTGATTTGAACCAGTTTTCTTTCGCTTTTATAGACCGGACATGATTTCTTTTTGAACATGTCTATATCTTTCGCGTCATTGTTTCTGTATTGTCTTTACGTTTTTATTAGGTTAATGATTTATTTCGTTATCCATACCTTTTTCTTTGTCAATTTCCTCCAACGAGGCTGAATAAGACTCACATTTTTGGTTAACGAAACCTATTCTAACTGGGTTTTTTCCATATTTCCCCCTTTGCATTACAGGAGTATTTTTGAAACTAGACCCCCCGAGTCAGTTTGATTAGATTCTTTCAATAGTGCCAGAGACCTTTCCGGGATGGAATGCCCCATCAGAGGTCACGCCTCTCATCTCAATCATCTCCCGTCATCTCAAGAAAAGTACAGCCCTATTAAACACGCTTTAGCGGCTGTTATTGCGCAAATCACTCGCCGAAGGCGAATGGGGTGGCTCGTTAACAATTTATACGTGCCCGACTCGGCGAATGACAGTAATTTGCCCCGGCGACTACCTGCCTTTCAATTTCCCTCAATAGCCTGTCAAAATAAATATATCTAATTATTATTCAAACCTAATTGCCCGCAATTACTCAAAATTTAATACAGGCGTTGGGTTTTTTTTAAAGCAATTTTAATGAGTATCGAACGTATATTTGACATAATTGTGTTACGTGTGGCTTGCTGGTGAATCAACAGAAAACGAAAACGCCATTTTTTTTTTTTTTTAACAATTATGCTTAAGAATATAAAACTATTGAAAATATCAAACGAAGTCCCCTTGATTTTGATCTTCGCAAGCTCAGAGTATTCCAAAGAAGCGAGACTTGACGGGGTTTTCTTAGATAGCATAGTTTAAGTAATGTTTAACTTTCATAATCTTATTTAATTGCGAGCTCGCACTTCTTATATTCCCAATATTGTAATTACGATTGAGGGCAAAACTAAAAACAGCAATATACACTGACAGGCAAAAGTTCCACTCAATTGATTTTTTTCATTTTCTTCATAAAATAAAATTCTGCCCTTAATTTATGTCATTGTTTTTACCAATAAGTATGTGTTTATGCTATGTTTTAAATTGGGAATATCAATTAGAGGTAAACACATTTAACCCTTTGTCCAAAATAAGGATAAAGGATTTTTCA